TCATCCAGACCGTCACAGATTTAATGATATTAAATGCTGACCTGGATGTGCATCTGCACTGTAGAATTAATGCAGTATGGCTGCACTTTAACTGTCATGGCTCATAATGATGGCATCCTGGGAGTTCTAGTTTTGCAAAATCTTCAATCTTCCTGAAGGCTTTCATGGCTGGAATCATTGGGTTGCTGTGAGTTTTCCAGGCTGTATGGTCATGTTCCATGTTTAACCTTCACTGCTAAATATTGCTAGTGCCTCCCCAAACTACAACTCCCAGGAGCCCATATCATTGAGCCATGTTGCAGTTAAGTGGGGTCAAAACGCATGCATTCTTGCAGTATGGCTGCATTTCATAGACAAATAGAGAGGTCTATTTGGAGTCCAGGGCCTTTTGGACTTGGCTCACAGGAAGCGGAATGCAACAGAATAGCTGGAAGCCCAATTGGTAGCCCCTTGCACCCCCTGGTGACCAGTGCAGGTCTTGCAGTTGCCTTCCTTTCTCTCCCTTTTTGGAGGGGGTGGTCTAGCATAGGCGTGGGCAACTTGGGCCTTCCCTCCAGGTGTTTTGGACGTCAACTCCCACCATTCCTGGACTCAGGACCCTTCCTTTTCCCCCTTAGCTGCTTAACAGGCTGACCACAGGGCTCAGGGAAATTGCTACATAATTACTGGTACACGTTGACCACAGGGAACATGATGCTTACTGGAACATGATTGCTAAATGCTCGCATGAGGGTATATATATAAGCTTCTTGACTGCGCCGTTAGGGTGCGGCAGCTTGGGATCAGCATTACTCTATGCTGTCTGTCCGCCTTTCTCACTGATCAGTAGAAATAAACCTGTGTTTTGCTCTAACTGTTTGGGCTCCTGTGGTCCATAGCATCCTGGCAAGTTCCCGGAATGAGGGACTGCGTCTCTAGGCTATTTTCCCTTACACAGAGAGGAGGGCCAGGGGGCCAAAAGGAGCCTTTCTGTCTTTCTTTCTGGATTGCAAAGCCCATGTGCCTGGGACGCCATCTGTCACGTTGCCAGGGCTCCGCTGTTATTTCCGGCAGAGGTGAACCAAACAAATACCCAGTTTGTGTTGAACAATTTAATTAAAACAGCACTTTCTTTCTAGTTGTTTTAATAGACCAAAATATAAAACATAAAGATAGCACTCAGCCACAAAATAAACAAAAACTGATAGCAAAAGCTACACCGTAGTCAAAAGTCAGTCCAGAGGTTCAAGGTTCCAGAGTTCCAAGATTACAGGAGACAGGTCAGGACACCGAAAATCCAACAGACCTGGGGGAAAACCAGCAGCATCCACCACCAAGATAAGACAAATGCTTTTCTCCCGAAGATCAGTACCAAGGCTAGCTCCTTATATCCAGGAACACCCCAACTGCAAGCTATCTCTTGCATGCATCTACGCTTAATTGCTTTCACCCATAAATATTTATTTATTTATTTATTTCGGTTGCTTCTACCCCACCCTTCTCACCCCGGGGGGGACTCAGGGCAGCCTACAAAAGCAAGGCACAATTCAATGCCCGCAATTCGATAAACGCATACTTAGAGATTACTCAACCCTTTAGAACAGTGTTTCTCAACCTGGGGGTCGGGACCCCTGTGGGGGTCGTGAGGGTGTGTCAGAGGGGTCGCCAAAGACCACCAGAAAACACTGTATTGTTTTCTGTTGGTCATGGGTGTTCTGTGTGGGAGGTTTGGCTCAATTCTATCGTTGGTGGGGTTCACAATGCTCTTTGAGTGTAGGTGAACTATAAATCCCAACAACTACAACTCCCAAATGTAAAGGTCTATTTTCCCCAAATTCCACCAGAGTTCAAATTTGGGGATATGGAGTATCTGTGCCAAGTTTGGTCCAGATCCATCATTGTTTGAGTCCACAGTGCTCTCTGGATGGAGGTGAACTACAACTCCAAAACTCAAGGTCAATACCCACCAAAGCCTTCCAGTATTTTCTGTTGGTCATGGGAGTTCCGTGTCCCAAGTTTGGTTCATTTCCATTGTTGGTGGAGTTCAGAATGCTCTGATGGTAGGTGAGCTATAAATCCCAGCAACTACAACTTCCAA